AAAAAAATACACTAAATATTATCCAATTCTACTTTTATTCAAGCTAGTCAACGATCTCTTACTTATCTTTATACTAGAACTCACAACATTTTTACATATAATAGTCCATGCAACTTACCTGATCAACTACATTCTGATTTCTTCTCTTGCCCTCTAGCTGGGCTCACTAAACTTAAATTTAATATCTGGTCTACTTTGTGGATCTAGTTCAGTATTTATTCCCACTAATTATATATTAACCATTCAAATCTAGATGAGCTTTGACCACTCTAGTAGGTTTAAATCGCAGATAAATTAGTCCGAGCTTTTATTCTTGTATGTAATTTATATTTATTCATTTATATATGAATTAAGTCTTCATTCAGTTTTGTTTCTTTATGATTACTTATATAAATTACTTAATAAAGATATAAGCAAGGCCTCACCTTTTAATACCAAAAAAAAAAATTGAAAAACATTAAAAACAAAAGTATGGCAGTTATATTATAAGATAAAAAAATAAAAAAAATGCTTGAAGAACCAAATATCTTAAAAGATTATCAATTTAATTTTCTAGTTGTTTATTTGAAACTAATCTGTACTTTATTAAAAACAAGCACAAAGTTGTAAAGCAAAAAACAAAGAGAGTTAGCAAAAAAATACTTTGATATAGATTATATAATTAAAATATAAATAGTTTTTATTTTAATAATATTGAATATTGTATTTTCTAAAATAAATATTTGGTTAACATATCTACTTTGTTAATCCAGTTTAGTATTTTTACTAATTATATATTAACTATTCAAATCTAGATAAGTCTTAACCACTTTAGTAGATTTAGATTGCAAATAAATAATTAGTTTGAGCTTTTATTCTTGTATACAGTTTATATTATTTATTTATAAATCAAGTTTTTATTTAGTTTGTTTCTTTATGATTACTTATATAAATTGCTTAATAAAGATATAAGCAAGATCTTACCTTTTAATATAAAAAAATATTTGGTTAATATATATAAGCTTCTTGTACTATAAACTAATATTTTTATTAATTTATATAACATTTTATATATAGAAAATATTGTATCATATGTAGCATTATAAGCAATGATTAGAAAAAATAAAATTAAAGAAATACATCCAAAAAAAAATTATTAAAAGGCTATTATATGTAGAATATAGCTATATAGATTTTTTTAAAAAATATTTCTATATGAAAATATTTATAATATATTATATAATATGATACATATTATTTCTCCAATAGTTTTTTAATTTATTTTACTAAAAAACCTTATAATTGTATAATTAAAAAAAATAAATATACAAGTAAAGTATTTTGGTATATCAACTTTTACCAAAAATATGTTTATTAATTTTAAAAAAAAACTTTTTACAATTTTTTAAAAACTTACACAGGTCGAAATAAGGCAAATCGGGTTCAAATCGGTATCACAAGATCATGATATAAACCTGATTTGAAACAGATATTTGGCAGAAATAAGATACCTATAGGATACAATTTAGCTTAATATCAGCATACAAGACATATCAACAAACCAATAGCTTAATAGCTAAATCGATAGAGCTTATCTTATAGTGCTATTAATTTACTTATCGAGCTATCGGTTTGTTAATATGTCTTGTATGCTGATATTAATCCGAATTGTATTCTATAGGTATCTTATTTCTGCCAAATATCTGTTTTAAATTGAGTTCATATTATAACCAATTTGAACCCGATTTGCTTTATTTCAATCTGTATTAGCTAAATAATTGCTAAATATATAGAAATAAAATATAAAGTTCAAATATCTAGTTTTTAATATTCAATCTGAAAATAAATGGTATATACTTTAATAATATAGATATAGGTAATAGTAAATATATGTTTACAGCAATTAATAAAACTATATTTTATAGATTAATAACATATAAATAAAAATAAAAAATAATATTAATTTAGAACAATAGCATACTTTAAAAGATATATACAGTGTATTAAGAATTATCTTTTTAGATTACAGAATATTTAATCTGATAGTAAAACTTAAAATAAAATATTTGATAAATTAGAAAGGATAGTAAATTATTAAATAATTTGATAGATTTTAAAATTAATATAAATAGCTATAGATATAGTAATCAATCAATATTTAATAAATAGACATAAAAAAGTAAATAATATTATATATATTAAAATAATATATTAAAAATATAATTTTGTTATTTTAAATAAGTTGGCTATAAAATAATTATTTAAAGAGATAACTTAAATATACAATTTAAAAACCTTTCTGCATTTTTTTTATTTATTTAAATAGCTAAAAAATTTAATTATATTAAATTAATAAATATATTTTTTATATTAAAGATTATCTTTTATTTAAACTGTTTTGCTTAGTTAATTTAATATACCCAGATCATTATTTTGGAATTGACAAGACTTTTAAATAATTTGGCATTAATTTTGTAAAGCAAAATATTAGAGGAAAGCTAATAAATAGAAGATTTAAACCAACAAATTTTATTAGTACAATCTGAATACAATTATTTATTATTACTAATATTAGAATATAGAAAGGATACATTACTTTTGATACTCGCAAAAAATCAACTCAAGCATCTCATGTTAAATAAAGGTATACTTGATCAGATAACTTTTAAGATTCTTTTGTTTATATTTTTAGATATTCATAGTTTTGACAACTGTTATATAGAGTTAGACAGTTTTGTATTTCTCTTTAAGGAGAATGCCACCCTAACAAATTTGAATATTATTTTTGTTAATATTAGAACAAAAGAACTTATCAAACTTTTAAAGACACTTGAAAAAAATAATTGTCTAAAGTCTTTGGAAATTTACTTTTACACTATAAATAATATAAAGAAAAGATATTTAAAAGTTTTGTCCCTAAGCATAATAAGTTGCCTTCATTGAAACTTGAGATTCTAATAAAAAATTAGATGTAGAGAAAGTATTAACAAATACACTTATTGGTATTATTTTGTTAAAAAGCTCAAATTTTGTTATTATAAATCTAAAAAAAATATTGGCAAATTTTTTGCTACTACACTTTATAAAAAACGCCATATTGATCTTTCTCAATTTTTGTAGTAATAACTTTGGATCAGGGAGTAGTGAAGAATTGGTGAATGCACTTAGTAAAAACAATTTACTAAAATATTTAAATTTAAATAGAATAACCTTGGATCAAAAGGCAAAAAAGCATTAGAGAAAAGACAAAAATTAGGTGATTTCGATTTATTATAGGGGACTACCCCACCCTCCACCTGATCGATCTATTTTAAAATATATATTTAAAAGTTTTTAAATCAACAATGTGTTTGTAGAATTTGAAATGAACCAATCAAAAGTTAAAATATAGAGTATCAAAAAATTCAGAGTGCCAATACTTGTTAGTTCTTTTGGTCATATGCTCTATAATTTCTAAATTCCAAAGGAATCCTATTACTATGCTATGTGTAGAATTCTTGGCTTTATTTTAGCAATGCTTATCTTTAATTATTTGTATAGCATAATTTTAATAACTTTTGAAATAAGGATTGGGCTCAGGTAAAAATTGTTACCCAAAATATATAATAACTTACCCAGATAACCTGGTTAATTTAATAATATCCAGGTAGAGATTTTTCAATGGGCCCAATCTTATCAAAATGAAATCAAAAAATAATACTTAGTTTCAAAGCTTATACCAACCAAGCATATTAGCTTTTTAGCAATCAATTAATTAGCTAAGATATTAACTAACTGCTGGTTATAGCGTAATCGGTTCATATTACTAAATCTGTAACCACTTAGCAAACTTAATTCTAAGAGAGTTCAAACCAAACTTATATGTATCTTAACTAAGAAAATCATTCAAGTTGATATGCATACAGATATATGTGTAGTCAACAGATTGAAAAGATGGCTAAGCAGGGGGCAAGTTCTTCAGGGCAAGGCTATAACAAGGCCTATACACAGCTAGAAATGGGAGCATGTGAAAATCGATGCTGTATTACAAGATTCTTATGGAAGCCAAATGTAGGTAGGTATAATATGAAATACCTTCCGATAATGGTAATCGCTAACAACTCCTAGCCAGGACTGTAACAGGTAAACTACAGGGTAGAAAAGGAGGTAATTATATCAACTGTGTAAAGAGCTGCCATTTTCTGCTACAAGAAGTAAACCATTTTGTGACCCGGCCTTCCCAACCTCTTAAAAAAAAAAAAAAAAGAAGAACCTGACATTTTCATGATTTTAAATGCGATTGTTTATGATTCACACTGACAGCTAGCCTGCGTTGTGCAGGCAAGAAATCACCGGCCAATGCTGTATATATCAAACGCAATTGAATCATTAGCCATAATATAGTTAAATGACAATTTTCTACTTGTAATGAGATAGTTGCTAGCCTATTTCAAAGCTACTAACCAAAATAAGTAAGTAATTAAAGCTTCATAGTTAAGCATAAAAATGAAAAAACTATAATAATAATAATTTCAATTTTTCAAAATTGGATTATTAATAATTCAATAAAAATTTTCTTTTTACTTTAAAGTTTTTAAAATCTATTATCGTTGTGCTATTATTGTCCAAATCATCTGCCTCAATTAGAGTGCTTTTATCTTTATTCTTAAGATTACAAAAGTTCTTGTAAATTATCAATGCAGACCTTTTTAAGCTTATCTAAGTTCAATAAAAAGCTTTTCTACTCTAATCCTGATTCTTTATATGAGCATTTTATGAATGCTTTTGCATACCACAAAATGGTTACTAATTTAAATCTGTCATTGCCAAAATCAAAATTACTAGAAGAAGGAAATAAAAGGTGGCGTGAAATCAAAAAAATGAGTATGAAAGTATTCAAAGAGAAATTCAAAATCTTTTGTTGACTCCAGTTACATTGCAAGTGACATTTGGTTTTGCAAAAAACATGAGTATGAGTAAAACTCCAACTTCTTTAAATCAACTGGTATTACGTCCTTCTATTTTCTTACCATCTCATAAATATGAAATACCCCAATGCTGCTGCTCAAAAAGCAGAATATGAAAAAATTAAAACTGCAAAAGCAAAAATTATCGAATTGGAATCTTTGCTTAGTTTAGCTACAGATAAAAATATTCAACATGATCTTTCTGTTTGAATACATGAAAACAAAATTATTATTAATGAATGTTTAAAAAATATTAATGCACTTAAACAACGTGCAAATAATCAAGCCAGGATGGTAGCAAAAAAACAAAGGCAACTTAGTGAGGCAGGCATTGTTGAGCAATAGGATGGCTCTGGAAAACCATCACTATTTGCACAAAATCCAGACCTTCTTGAAAATATTCATGATTGTGTTGAATTTGGTGAGGCTAACCAAAAGCATAGAAATCTATAATTAAAGTTAGAACTATTACTCATTTAAAAACAGCACTTGAAGAAAAATATAAACTTTACATAAGCAGACAAACTTTGTCAATTTATCTTAGGCCTAAATATCCAAACACTTTTTTAGCAAAACAGTATTACTATCCTGCAATGGTCCAAATTCGGTCAGTATCACGAAATAAAAAATCTAATCATATTGATAGCCACTATTGCCTTGCTTCAGTAAAGGGTGTTTGAACTTTTGCTTCATCATTTTCTAATTATTCTATAATTATATCTCAAGATGATAAAGCAAAAGTTCCCTTAGGAATTCTAGCTGTTGGACGAACTTTTAAATTAATTGAAACAATTATGAACCCGTTTTTATATCTAATCATGATTTTTCTTTGGGAAATAAAATGAAACTTATACTCTCTGTATATCTTTTAATTAACTCAAAGGATACAAATGATAACTTTTGCTCAGAGCATCTTTCAATTTATATTCAGCCTGAATATTTTGTAGATACTACTGCGGCAACTCATATAGCTGACCTGGTTTCAATTATAAATTCTAAAGAATATAATAAACTAATTTATATAGAAGGCAAAGTTAAACTATTATGGATTTTGTTAGTGGATGGTAGACCAGACAAAAATCCAAAACATTTAAAAAATATTATAGAATATTGCAAGTTCTTTTGTTTTTTGGATCTTGATTATCTTTCAGTCCATACCCATGCATCAGGACAATCTTCTTATAATCCTGTAGAACATGGCATGGCCTCCCTTTTATCCAAATTAGCCAGTATTGTATTACCTATTGACCATTTTGGTACTTACCTTAACTCACAAGGAAAAGTGATTGATGAAGAATTAGCAATAAAAAATTTTTGCTTTTCAGGAGAAAAACTTTGTGATATTTGGCAACGTGACAAGGTTTGTGAAAAACCTGTACAGGTTAAATATTTAGATACACATGATGACACATTTAAAAATAAATAAATTTCATGGAAGTGAATTAAGGAACATTGCCAAATTTGTTGTTATTCACTTGATATCAAAAAATGTCATGATCAAAATTGTTGCAAACCTTCTAGGCACCAGAAGCAGCTGCTTTATTGCAAGAAAATAATGGATTCTTACCTCCTGTTATCCAAGGACATGATCGATATTTTTTGAACTCTATTCATATTCTTGAATACTATGATAAACTTAAAATTCCTCCTTATGACAAGCATTGTCCCTCAATATCAGCAAAAATGCATCAACGTTTAAGTTGTTCAAGATGTAAAAAGTATTTTTCTACTTTAAAATTTATTCAAAAACATAAACTTCAACATTCAAACTGTAGAAACCAAAGTTCTATCCCAGATTTTTTAAAAAAACACACCCTCTAATTCTGCAACGTATGAAGATTTTGTTCAATCACAAAAATTATATGAAGAAATTGTTTTTGAACAAGGCCTTTCTAATAGTAAAATCTTTTAATAATATATTGTATTAGTGTTTTCATAGTATAAATAAAGTTTTTTAATATAAAAATAACTTATCTAAATAAAAATTTTACTTCGATACTTGAAAAATTAAATAGCACGTTAGTACATTTAGTGCATCCTATTTTACTATCATCATATTATAGGTTAGAGACAAATTAAAACTACGTTTAGAATTTGTGCTAAAATTTGCAAGAAATATTTATTCTTTAAAATTTTGGTAGCATTACTATATACACATAATGATCTGATTGATCAGCATGTTTCAAATCTGTGCCAGGTTATATCGATCAATGAATTAAAAAAGATTAAGTGCAGATTTTAATTTACTTTATATTCAATATTTAGTTATACTCATATATCTAAAATTTTGTACTGAAAACTTTTTTTTAGAAGTCAAACTATAATTATTATGAGTTATTTACGAATTTTTTGCTTTCTTATTGAGAATAAGAAAATTTGTAAATAACTCAAGATTTTACTATGATAACTGTAGTTTGACTTCTAAACAAAGTTTTTAGCATGAAATTTTTGATATATAGGTACAACTAAATATCAAATATAAAGTAAATTAAAATCTGCACTTAATCTCTTTTGATTCAGTGATCGATATAACTTGGCACAGATTTGAGACATGTAATTGATTATGGATCTAATTAGATTAAGCAATTTGATTTGATTAATTAAATGTCGATGTTATACAACTAATCTTTCACCCAGTGTGCAACATATAAAAAAATTTATTTTACAATACCAAATCATTCTGCTAATGCATGTTATGATTATAATCCTACACTATTTTATTATAATAAAAATGATGTGAGATTATAATCATATCATGTACTAGTAGAATGATCTGGTATTGTAAGATAATTTTTTTTATATATTGTATACCGGGTAAAGGATCAGTCAGGTAATATCGATGGTTCCTTCTGTTGATTAATTACTGGACTCATCAACTCGTGACTTAAATAATTATTTTTCGAATCATGAAATTTAACTATAAGTTATTTAGGCCATACAAATTTAATTACTTGGTTTTCATAACATGAAACTTTTAAATAGACCCGGCCGGCCGGCTTTTTTTT